TCTCCGAGCAAACAGCCTAAGGCTGGGTGCCGGTTGTGGGGAGAGAGACAGATCTCTGCTTATAAGTCTGTTTGGATTTTTAAAAATATATGTGAAGATACTGAGCCTGTGCTGGACAGCTTAAGATACTGTATGAATATTTTTGGATACATCGTTTGATGTTTCTGGTTTGTTTCGGAGAAAGCTCTGCAAGTAAAATGTCGAATAATATTATTTATTTATTTATTTATTTATTCCAAAACTGAAAAAAGAATTACCATCATCAAATTCATAATCCATATTCGTTTTGTAACATAGGCCCATTACATAGTTGACTTGATTAAAATATACCTAATTGCTATAGTCTTCCCTTTGCTATACAGTGGTACCTCGGGTTACATATGCTTCAGGTTACATACACTTCAGGTTACGGACTCCGCCAACCCAGAAATAGTGCTTCAGGATGAGAACAGAAATCGTGCTCCGGCAGCGCGGTGGCAGTGGGAGGCCCCATTAGCTAAAGTGGTACTTCAGGTTAATAACAGTTTCAGGTTAAGTACGGACCTCCGAAACGAATTAAGTACTTAACCCGAGGTACCACTGTATATAAATGCAACACAATTAGAAATATTATATTAGAATTTTTTATAAATTCCCCTATACCCCCCACTCCCATGTGTGATCTCAATAATATTATCATTTTACTTCTTCCATCTTGTTGTGTTGTTTTAGTTTAATAATTATTCAATTGATTCTTTTATTATTTCCTTGCTTAAAGGTAAAGGGACCCCTGACCATTAGGTCCAGTTGTGGCCGACTCTGGGGTTGCGGTGCTCATCTCGCTTTATTGGCCGAGGGAGCTGGCGTACAGCTTCCGGGTCATGTAGCCGACTCTGGATTTGCGGCACTCATCACGCTCTATAGGCCAAGGGAGCAGGCGTACAGCTTCCGGGTCATGTGGCCAGCAGGACTAAGCTGCTTCTGGCGAACCAAACCAGCGCACGGAAACGCAGTTTACCTTCCCGCTGGAGCGGTACCTATTTATCTACTTGTACTTTGATGTGCTTTCGAACTGCTAGGTTGGCAGGAACTGGGACAGAGCAACGGGAGCTCACCCCGTCGCGGGGATTCGAACCGCCAACCTTCTGATCGGCAAGTCCTAGGCTCTATGGTTTAACCCACAGCGCCACCTGCAACCCTTTTTGTTGTTGTTTAGTCGTTTAGTCGTGTCCGACTCTTCGTGACCCCCTGGACCAGAGCACGCCAGGCACCTCTGTCCTCCACTACCTCCCGCAGTTTGGTCAAACTCATGCTGGTAACCTCAAAAACACTATCCAACCATCTCGTCCTCTGTCGCCCCCTTCTCCTTGTGCCCTCCATCTTTCCCAGCATCAGTGTCTTCTCCAGGGAGTCTTCTCTTCTCATGAGGTGGCCAAAGTACTGGAGCCTCAGCTTCACGATCTGTCCTTCCAGTGAGCACTCAGGTCTGATTTCCTTAAGAATGGATGCATTTGATCTTCTTGCCGTCCATGGGACTCTCAAGAGTCTTCTCCAGCACCATAATTCAAAAGCATCAATTCTTCGGCGATCAGCCTTCTTTATGGTCCAGCTCTCACTTCCATACATCACTACTGGGAAGACCATGGCTTTAACTATACGGACCTTTGTTGGCAAGGTGACATCTCTACTTCTCAAGATGCTGTCTAGGCCTGTCATTGCCCTTCTCCCAAGAAGCAGGCGTCTTTTAATTTCGTGGCTGCTGTCACCATCTGCAGTGATCATGGAGCCCAAGAAAATAAAATCTCTCACTGCCTCCATTTCTTCCCCTTCTATTTGCCAGGAGGTGATGGGACCAGTGGCCATGATCTTCGTTTTTTTGATGTTGAGCTTCAGACCATATTTTGCGCTCTCCTCTTTCACCCTCATTAAAAGGTTCTTTAATTCCTCCTCACTTTCTGCCATCAAGGTTGTGTCATCTGCATATCTGAGGTTGTTGATATTTCTTCCGGCAATCTTAATTCCAGCTTGGGATTCATCCAGCCCAGCCTTTCGCATGATGTATTCTGCATATAAATTAAATAAGCAGGGAGACAAAATACAGCCTTGCCGTACTCCTTTCCCAATTTTGAACCAATCAGTTGTTCCATATCCAGTTCTAACTGTAGCTTCTTGTCCCACAACCCTAGAGACTCCTTATACTGCATTTAAAACCAAAATCGCGTTTGGATAGAAACTGTTTCTCAGGCGGCTAGTCCTAGTCTTTATAACCCTGGACCTTCTTCCAGAAGGCAGAAGCTGAAAGAGATCATTTCCGGGGTGCGCACTGTCCTGCATTTTTCAACTTCAATGGATTTTGTATGGAGACTGATTTGTAAATCCGGGGACTGTCCCTGGGAAACGGGGATGTCTGGGAACCTTAAGCTTGCAGCTCAGAGGAACAAAATAAGGTGTGTTCACCTGGCGATTCCTTTTGCCTGTCTTGGCTCCACTCCACATTCAGGATCTGTCCCTCTCTTCTCCGTCCTTTTCTGTCTCTTGGGGGAAGGAGTGGCCGGATTCAGAAATACATTCTGTAGATTCCTGATCTCCGCACATATTATTTCTCCCTTCCTCTCCGCTGAAGGCTAAAAATAATCACAAGAGCGAGATGATGTGTACGGATTTCGCCCCCCCCCCGCCTGCTCTTCTCCCTGTGTGGTTGCAGATGCAAACTTACGATTAAAAAAGCACACCCGATCAACCAGCTTGTTTGACGCGCCATGGCTCTGGGGCCCTATTAATTAGAATTAAAAATTTAAACCACTGTGCCGTGGGCGTCTCTGTGGTACAAAGGTTAAATGGAGGAGCCGTGCGCAGTGAGTGCCAGCGAGCACAAGGGCTGCTGCTGTTGTTGGAGAGTTCCAGGCCTCCCTCGTGATGTTAGCTGTGGGCAGATAAGCACAGAGCCTCCCGGTGCAGCAGCAGTCTACCCCTGTTTGCCAGTTGGAGGAGGCAAATGGCAAGGAAGGCCTTTCAAAAAGTGCCAGGGTAGACGGAATTCACATTTTACTGCTGCTTTTTCCTGTTCCTTCTGGTTGATGGCCTTGCCTTTTGCAGAAGAGATTGGCATCAATGTTCCAGTGTTATGAGAGAGGAAGAAAACCATTTGTCTGCTTTCTCCATGCCCAGTTCACCTCTTACAGTACTTGCCTTTTCTCTAACTAAGAAGCATAGCTGTCAACTGTCCCTTATTTGGCGGGAAAGTCCCTTATCCCAGTGCTGTGTCCCGCTGCTGTCCCTTATTGATGATGTCCCTTAAATTTCCCGGGTTTCAAAGGAAGCAGCTCCTCTCCCTTCCTCCCTGCCGGCCAGGGAGGAGGGAGGCTCCAACTGTGTTGCTTGGCTGCGTTGCTCACCCAATAAGGAGCCTAAGAACGACTAGGGGGTGGAGCTTGCATGCCTTGTGCCAATCAAATCGGCCGCGTTGCCTGGGGACTCCCCTTTGCTCAGCGCTTCCCAGCGGAGAGGTGCCGGTGGTTTTCCTTGCTGCGTCCCCTTTGCCGGGTTGCTGCGCTGTGGGAACCACCGCTTGAGGCTTCGTTTGGCTGCTGGCTGGGCTTTCTGCCTTTGGCTCGGAGGGGCTCAGAAGTTGAACATACCTGTGCCCCTTGGGAAATCCCTTATTTTGGCTGCTGGTCCCTTATTTTCAAATCTGTAAGTTGACAGCTGTGCTAAGAAGTCTCAAGCACAGCAACCTTTCTTCACAAGTCAACTGCTCCACCCCCTTCATAATTTTGGTTGTCCATTTCTGACTCCACATTATCCTTTCCGAGCGGAGGCGACCAGAACTGTACACAGCAGTCCAAACAGATCTGTGTGATGATATTGGCAATTTTATTTTAAACCTCTTTCCTTTTTTTAAAAAAAAAATTAACTTTACTTGACAGACAGCATTAAATGACACATCATCCCACATCACACCATAATATACTACAGAATACAACAACACACAACTATACACAACTATACAGTATATACATCACCAATCATTACGTTTATCTATTACTACTTTACAGAACAGGAAAAAAAGAAAGAAGAAAAGAAAGAAAATTAACAGAAAATAAAGTTGACTTCCGATTAAACCCATTGTACTATCACTTATATTGATTGTTTTACACACAGCATCATGCTGTTATTTTGTTTTCCTAATTCTCATCCAAATTACATGATTATTTATCACATTCGTCTTACAAGAATCAGTCAAAGGTCTGCCAGGAGATTTTTGTCGTCACAGTAATTTTTCAAGTAATCTTTAAATGTTTCCCATTCTTTATGTACAAACCTGTACTGTACTAAATAGACAAACCTGTACTGTGTGTGTTTGTCAAAGGACGTGATAGCTTTCCCGCTGTGCTAACTCTGCTACGGCGTGACTGGAGCGGCAGAAGGAGCAGAGGTGCTCAGAGGAAGTGTGCCGGACATAAACAGCTAATTGGAGATCGTAAATCAATTAGCGGGGTCACGCAAAATCAATCAACTTTGACACCTTCTGCGTCAGATATCCTCTGATTCTCCCCATCATCATGGCCAACTGTAAATATTCTATCGTTTGGACCTGCCATTCACTTATTGTAGGAGTCTTTTCGCTTTTCCAGTTCCTTGCTACCATATTTTAAACCCCTTTCCTAATGATTGCTAGCATGGATCTTGCCTTTTAAAATTTTTTACAGCTGCTGCACACTGGCCTAGCCTTCCCACAGCTCACCTTCTGTTCTTAAACCCCTTAATCGCCCCACTTGATCCTGTACTTCTCCCACAGGAAATGCGACAAGGTGACAGGATTGCTGTGCCTGCTCTTGGTAAAAAATGTGCATGGAATTGGGGTGTGTGTGTGTATTTGAGTGGGGCAGAGAAGGGAGTGAGAGCCCTTAATGTAACAGCGCATGAAGTACGGTACATTTGGTGCATTCATGCATATAAGCGTGCATTCTGCTCATACATGTTCACGCGTTTGATACCAGTGCACGCCCTCTCTGTTTCAGGTTGCGCCTTCCTTACGTACTGCGCCCGAGATTCGGCCATCAAAGCTCAGACAGCGCTACATGAACAGAAGACGCTCCCTGGGGTAAGTCTTGGCTCTTTGGAGTCGCTGTGGGTCGGCTCCGGAGGCTCCTCAACAGAGGTGTATTTTGCTCAGAGAAGTGCAGTTTCGCACCTTGCCTTGAAGTGAGAAATCAAATGTCAGTCTCTGCCTTCCAATAAGTGTGTGAATGCTTAAAGGGGCCAGGGGGGGAATGTAGGAGTGGATATAGGCACTGGGAGAGGATACATTATTCGGTTATCATCCTTCCTTGCACTTGTGAGCGAGATCAGCAGAATACCATCCTTTGCAGCTTAAACGTGGAAGCTAAGACAAGGTTAATTTAACCTTCTAGAAGCAATAATCCAGGATTTTCCCTGGTATTTCCCCCTTTCTCCCCATTAAAAAGAACAACCTCTCTCTCACACACACACACATACACATGCACTGTTCTGCGAAGAAGTAAAAGTAGTGTTTACTTACATAACCGAGGCCTTGAAGTAGCAGCATTCCTAGGTGCTAAATCAAGGCAGGTTTATATCTAAGTTAAAAGTAAAGGTAAAGGGACCCCTGACCATTAGGTCCAGTCGTGGCCGACTCTGGGGTTGCGGTGCTCATCTCACTTTATTGGCCAAGGGAGCCGGCGTACGGCTTCCGGGTCATGTGGCCAGCAGGACTAAGCCGCTTCTGGCGAACCAGAGCAGCGCACGGAAACGCCGTTTACCTTCCCGCTGGAGTGGTACCTATTTATCTACTTGCACTCTGATGTGCTTTCGAACTGCTAGGTGGGCAGGAGCAGGGACCGAGCAACGGGAGCTCACCCCGTCATGGGGATTCGAACCGCCTACCTTCTGATCGGCAAGTCCTAGGCTCTGTGGTTTAACCCACAGCACCACCCGCGTTACTAAAGTGCGAAATCGAAGTTCGATATGGTGTCTGAGCTGCAAAGCTCGGACATGCACATGTGTGCTCAGCTTGGAGGCATGATGAAGAAAGAGAGAGATGCCCAAGCTGGAAGGAATTATGGGGTGTTATAGCTGCTGGCCAAGGAAGACAAAGGAAGTGACGTCACAGAGTTCTCTGAAGCAAATTTTACAGGGAAGCTCTGTGAGCATCAGCCCCTTCATGTGCCCATCTGGCAAAGCATGAATTGTTGGTTTGACTGCAATAATGTCCCACAGACCTGTGCCCGCACCCCGATGCTGTTGGACTCCAACTAGGAGTCTGCCAGCACTGAGCTGAAATCTCCAGTCTCTTGCTTAATTTCCAACCAGTGACATATTTGTTCGAACACATATGAGGAAGAAAATCCGGTTTAGTTCACATCAGAACAGACACCTTCATAGTTTGCAAACCTATGCAAACCGATATGCTTCCAAATTTACAGTTACAGTGGTGCCTCGGGTTAAGAACTTAATTCGTTCCGGAGGTCCATACTTAACCTGAAACTGTTCTTAACCTGAAGCACCATTTTAGCTAATGGGGCCTCCTGCTGCCACCACGCCGCCGGAGCACGAGTTCTGTTCTCATCCTGAAGCAAAGTTCTTAACCTGAAGCGATATTTCTGGGTTAGCGGAGTCTGTAACCTGAAGCGTATGTAACCTGTACAGGTAACACTGTATCTGAATTCTGCGACAAAGCGCTCCAAGTGAAATAATTGCATCGAAACTGCTTTAAGGGGGAAAGAGGGTATTTAAAAAATGCATACGTTGTTGAAAATAACCTACAAAATCCACACAACATTAGAAGAAATTGTGTGCAAAAATATGTGTGCATTAGGAGAAACGCTTGACAAGTTTCCGTGAGGATTTGTTTTTTAAAATGTATAGTCGTACCTTGGATCCCGAACGCCTTGATACTTGGACGTTTTGGCTCCTGAACGCTTCAAAGCCGGAAGTGAGTGTTCCGGTTTGCGAACGTTCTTTGGAACCTGAACGTCCTCTGCGGCTTCCGATTGGCTGCAGGAGTTTCCCTTTACCTTTATATTTACAGCACCGCACCTCTTTGCAATTCCAAAAATAGCAAGGGAGCTTTCTCTGCCTCAGAACCTGGAAAACTACCACCGCCAGAAGGCCAGCCTTGGCCAGGTGGGTGAGTGGATGGGAGTACAATTCCCATCAGCTCCCCAGACAGCATCACCCAATGGTCAGGGAACTCTGCTGTAGGCAACATGGGAGTAAATAGAAGCTGGAAAAGGTGGGCGCCCCCCCCCCATCCCACACTCTGCTGAGCAGTAGCAAGATTCTAGGCAGAGGGTTCCAGACAGTCACCTAGGGTCCGTGTTCCTTTGGAGAACTGAAGATGCAATGGAGGTTGTTGTAGCTTTTAGGAGGGAATATAGGGCTTGTTGCCGGAAGAAATATCAACAACCTCAGATATGCAGATGACACAACCTTGATGGCAGAAAGTGAGGAGGAATTAAAGAACCTTTTATTGAGGGTGAAAGAGGAGAGTGCAAAATATCGTCTGAAGCTCAACATCAAAAAAACGAAGATCATGGCCACTGGTCCCATCACCTCCTGGCAAATAGAAGGGGAAGAAATGGAGGCAGTGAGAGATTTTACTTTCTTGGGCTCCATGATCACTGCAGATGGTGACAGCAGCCACGAAATTAAGAGACGCCTGCTTCTTGGAAGGAAAGCAATGACAAACCTAGACAGCATCTTAAAAAGTAGAGACATCACCTTGCCAACAAAGGTCCGTATAGTAAAAGCTATGGTTTTCCCAGCAGTGATGTATGGAAGTTAGAGCTGGACCATAAAGAAGGCTGATCACTGAAGAATTGATGCTTTTGAATTATGGTGCTGGAGGAGACTCTTGAGAGTCCATGGACTACAAGAAGATCAAACCTATCCATACTGAAGGAAATCAGCCCTGAGTGCTCACTGGAAGGACAGATCCTGAAGCTGAGGCTCCAATACTTTGGCCATCTCATGAGAAGAGAAGACTCCCTGGAAAAGACCCTGATGTTGGGAAAGATGGAGGGCACAAGGAGAAGGGGATGACAGAGGATGAGATGGTGGGACAGTGTTCTCGAAGCTACCAGCATGAGTTTGACCAAACTGCGGGAGGCAGTGGAAGACAGAAGTGCCTGGCATGCTCTGGTCCATGGGGTCACGAAGAGGCAGACACGACTAAGCGACTAAACAACAACAACAATAGGGCTTGTTTCCTGCAGCACTGGAGTCCAAGGCATCTTTCCCAGCCAGACTTCAGCCAGCCTACCCAAAATGGATCCCATTCTTTCTTCTTCCCTTCTTCTTCCCAGCACACCTTTCTAAAGACTCTCTTTTCCTCTGACTTCACACCCAGCTGACCTGTCAACTTTCTGTCTCTCCAGGACCAAGATTCCTCTTAGATGGGCCATCAACACCTTTTGTCATGTTAAAACCTGTCTCCCAGGTGAGGCTCTAGCTTCAAAAAGGAAGCTTAGCCTGTATTCCCCCCCCCCCACTGGCCTGCATTCTTCCCTTCAATACTCCAAATAATCTGGATCCTACCATTTATTACTTTCTAGGGTTTAGGGTGGCACTGTGGGTAAAAGCCTCAGTGCCTAGGGCTTGCCGATCGAAAGGTCGGCGGTTCGAATCCCCGTGGCGGGGTGCGCTCCCGCTGCTCGGTCCCAGCGCCTGCCAACCTAGCAGTTTGAAAGCACCCCCGGGTGCAAGTAGATAAATAGGGACCGCTTACTAGCGGGAAGGTAAACAGCGTTTCCGTGTGCGGCTCTGGCTTGCCAGAGCAGCGATGTCACGCTGGCCACGTGACCCAGAAGTGTCTTCGGACAGCGCTGGCTCCCGGCCTCTTGAGTGAGATGGGCGCACATCCCTAGAGCCTGTCAAGACTGGCCCGTACAGGCAGGGGTACCTTTACCTTTTTAGGGTTTAGGGGGAGTACCCCCACCATCTATAACACAGACAATGAATCCAACCTGATAATAAGACAGCTTTCTGGGCCTGCAACAACTTTATGCAATTGAAAATCAGAATGGCTGTTCCTTCAAACAGAAAAGCAAGAGATTTTCTCCAAATGCGAGCCTTTGCCCTGTGTAATAAACAAAATCTACCCTTATTCCCTTATGGGGGACACAAGAGCCCTTATAGAGTCCTTTGTAGGTTCTCCATCGGTAGGACAAAATAACAGAGGCCAAACAGAGAATATTGAGAAGCAAAGCAGCTAGTAAGCCTGATCTTTATTGGACTGTTGCAACAGGGTGTTCCTCTCACACGCAGGAAAGGAGGAGGACCGAGAACAAAGGTGTGTCCGCCCTTATATAGACATTTTAAATTCCCTGCCCTGGAGCTCAAGACCTACCCCAGAAACATCATACATACATCACAGAAGGGGTGTAACCCAAGACCACCCCCCACAAACATCATACCTATATCACAGATGTCTGGGGGGGGGGATTTCCGAAAGGTGGAGCTTTGTCCTGGATCTTAGGCAAGTCAATCGAAAACTTGCGTTTATTTGCCGTTTTTGTGCCAGAAACAACCACCAACTTTTGGGCTGAGCTTTTTTTTTTGCAAAGAAATCGGACTTTTTTGCGCTATTTCTGCGGGAAATTGAGAAAAACGACACTGCCGCCATGGGCCGCCGCACGTCCAGACATTTCGCCGATTGCAAAATACTGCGCCGATTTCCGCCCTGACGCTGCTCGCGGCTGCAGTATTCCGGATATGTCTGGGAAATGTATGGCCACCCTAGGTTTCCCTAAACATCAAAGCTCAACTTTCGGGGTGTCCTGGTTTGGACTGTTTGAAATATGGCGACCCTGTCTGCCGAGAGAGAGGAGCTGACGGAGGAGAACTGCACTCTTAATTACAGACAAAGCGGGTCTCCGCTAATTGAATGTTCTTTTGTTGTCCCAAGGAACGGGCGGCTGCTGATTTGCGCTGTAATGAGAGGGCATCTCCGCACCCCGGCTTCACCGGCTCCATGTAGGCCTTAATTAACTCCACGGTTCCCATGGCAACGGCTCCCGATGCTGCTGGATTCCTCTCCAGCCGGAGCTGCTGGAGCATCTATTTTGGAGCGCCACAAACCTA